ATGCGTATTCAGACCGAAGAGCGCACATATGAAGTCCGAAAAGTATCAACGCGTTCCGTCTTTCGTGTATTTGAAGTAGATAGGCGCTGAGGCATCGGTTCTTGTATAACCAAATATGGGCAAACATTGTTAACTCCTACTTCTTCAGCATTCTTCTAGATATGTACGATCGTGAGCGATGTCGCAGGAAAGCTGGCAGGCATCAGTTACAATACACTTATTTCTACACAGAATTTGTTAGCTCCCACTTCGACATTCTCTTGTGAGGTATATTCGAAGACGATTCAGTGACGCACGGATAGGCTTTACGCAGCAAGGCTACGATGACGCAACTACACACCTAAAAAAACCATCAGCAAAGTGTCACACTAATAGTGAAATAATGATTTCTCTGATGCCCAAGCATCTAACGACAAAACACAAACATCGTTTTCCCACTGACTTCCGTCGAAAAAAAGGTTTAGTGTTTGGAAAGACGTCAACAAGCACGCACCCAAAGACTGGCCTCGTGATATAGGCAGATAGTATAGGCTTTGTGCTACACAGCAAGAAACTCCTGCGGTACAGTTAGCGTATCAGAATCGGACAGCGCATGAGTAATACGACGTAATATCGCATCGCATCAGCATCGAAACCTAGACTGCGTGGTTCATTTCCAAAAACTAACAGGAAGTGAGGCATCCTCTCAAAACATTAACTGACTCCTGTTAAGCTTCTGAATTGATGAACTCTCACCCTGCGGATCATCTCAACACATTTTGAGTGCATGGAAAGAACGCGATCTAGCTGCAGATGTTGCTTCTGCAACGCAATTTTTGAGAACAAAATTGGATACCCTACCCTATTCAAATGGTACCCTATTCAATGCACTTCTCATTGTAGTTAGGAAACTGAGAACAACGAAAAAGAACTAATAAATACCTATACCTATTCCTAGTCGAATGGTAGATAGAATTCACCCAAGTTCTTCTGTGGTGGAAACAAAAAATGAACGCCTCGTGAATAGAAATGACACATCTGCAACAGGGGAACGATTCAAATTTGGGTCATTTTTTCATACAGCTAAAACACTTACCTACGAAGTCAAAGCAGAACTTTCTCGAATACGACGTTTTATCAAATTACTTGTCGATTTAATTTTACTCCGCTACGACTTCTGGCACGAGATTGAGCAACGTACAGCTGACCGTGTGAGAAAACATCTTGAGGTAGATAAACGCCTACTTTGTTGAATGACTGCCCTTGAGCATTATTGATTGTCATTGCGAATGCAATCCTCACAGGGAACTGCCGTCTCCTGAGCCGAAAAGGAACTCTGCTTTCCCAGTAATTATCGATCCGTGGTATGATCGCGAATTCCCTTCTTTTGTCGCCACATATGAAAGAACAACCAAGAGTAAAGCGTCCTAACTTTTCGACTTTCAATCGGGTTCCATTACACAGGCCATTGGTTACGTCAAGATTTCTGAGAAGCATAACAATCGTGCCCTTTTTTGGGCGCAGTTCGTGTGGCGGCATGCCTGTTAGATTCAAGGAATCTATATATTCTTGCTGGAACAAATGATCATTCTGCCCCTCCAAATATATTGCTTCGTCTATGGGTTCGTCTTGGGATTTTTCTACATAAACGTGGTCAATGGTGTCATCACTGATACGTCGCACATGATCGTTTTCAGTGCTGAAATCGCACATTCGGCTAGCTCGGATGTCCTGTCAGGATCGATTGAACTTCCGAAAATCTCCGTAACCAGATCAGTGAAACATATGATATCTTCAGGCACTGCTGCACCATCAGTATTGTTGCAACTTCCATTCATTTATTTCAAGGAGTATTTTTGCCCATTCGTTTGGGGAATTTCTTGTTCTCATATCAACATCGAGGCGGTAGATGGAAAATGACGACCAAAGAGAAGACTTTTGAACACATGCTTAAACGAAGTCCTCTCTCTCTATGCTCTACGACTGGTAACACTTGGCGAAAATCACCACCGATTAGCATTCCTCCAAACGGTCTATCGTTTTGCATAATGTCCCTAGCTCACCCTTCTCAATGGAAAGTTTTGAGGGATTTGCAAACAACTCCCCATTTTTTTACACGACAAAACACCTGTCAAATGTAAATTTATCACAAACGAAATCTAACGCACTGATACAGGCGAGCGGCCGAAGACGGCGGCGAGGTAATGGGTTCACGACCACGACGGCGATGGCCGAAAGCGTCAACGGAAACGGAAGTTGCAGGCAGTAGAATACCTTTCACTGCAACCACGGATTCTTTTATGTGAGAGTCACTCACAGGTTACAGCGCGATCTTAATGGGTGAGTCAGAATCACGCGCACTGATCTCTTCGCGAATGATTTCCTGTCGTCCTTAACACGATCGCGATCCCTGTGACCTACCCTTCGGTAGTCGTTCATCCATGACCTGCTTCCTCGGCTGTCTCTCTCTTCAACACGACAGCATATGGTCAAGAAGCTTAGGGTGCCAAGATGAGGGAAAATACGCAAATAAGGGATACACTACATGAAATGAAGGCACCATTAATACACTGGTGTGCAAAACTTAAGGAGAAAATGGATAATTTGACATAATTATTAACAATTCAATAGAATTGGATGAAACTGTGCAAGCTTAGTGCTAAAAGTTCTACAGTGATGGTCATCAAATCGGTCCTCATATATTCTGTGGCCGCCTCCAATTTGGAGATATATGAGGTGCCAAAAAGGGCCCGGGTCACACAAAACGAGGGTTTTGGTGGAACAGGGTAACTGGGATAGTACTGATCAGGAAGAAGTTACTGTGGAATGTAGTGGTGATCTTGATTACAGCAACGCAAGACAACACTAGGGTGACTTAGCGAGGAAGAATTACCGAGAAACTGGAAGAAGGAAGATGTGTAACGAGTGTGGTCCAGGAGTTTGGTGTTGCTCACACCATTGTTTTGTGCGCAGGGGAGCAATATGGACCGCAGCCACTGCTGCCCCTAGAAGAGAGGTGGATCACAATCAACCGCAACAGCAGGTGATTGCTACGTTTTGCAACAGGCAAAAATGGACCCACGTCAGTCACATGCTGCAGTTGCAAAAACATTTATCAGGATTGTAAGGCATGTAATCCCAGCCTGAACAGTGGCACAGTGACCGCATAGGATGTCTCTCTGCCCAGCCAAGCAGTGTCTGGTATTCCTTCGGACCCGCGCATTGGTGGGAACATTTGCTAGGTGCTGACACATTGGGAATGGACCACCAATTTGGACGATCGCATGTTCATAACAGTTAAGATGCAAATTGAGTGTGAGTAAGATTTGGACTTAACCGCATATTGCGAGAATAAAATTATGTAATGTACCCTGGAACATCGTTTCATTTGATTGTTCGGATAGGCCAGGTGGTATGGTGGGGTGGGGGGAGGCGTGTAGTTGCCGCATCGTTCCAATCTCGCAACTCGTGATCGCAGTACACTTTCTGATCCGAGTGACGCAGTACTGCTCATTATGTGCATCTTTCCAGGGGTGCGTTTGATCCCAACTCTATTGCTATGAAGGAAAATGCGAGTGCATCGAGCAGCCTAGGTGGAAAACTCTTGAAAGCAGGATTTTCGGCGATTAGTGAAGCCTGTCCGTTTCCTCCAGTCAAGTGCTAGGGAGAACGTGTGGTGTGTACTGAGGAGAGCTATTGTAGCCCGCATCCGCCAACAACTGTCCATGTAGTTGTCAATCGCGGTGTTCGAGGAATGGAAGGCTTCTCCACGAGAATTCTTAGACAACCTGGCAAGTATGGAAGCACGTAGCAACGCGTGACCATGGATTGGGGAAGCCTCAGTCATCAACCGCTTCAGACACTGTCTTTGAACAAAAGCTTCTTCTCTGCGCAAATCTGCACTATACAGCAATGCTCCCTTCTATGTGTGTGCCAGATTCAATCGACCTAGATTAGCTAGCGGTGAGATATGCGAATGTTACTCCGTCCTTGAGTTCTGCACACCAGTGCAGATTCAGTTTCAAAGAGGAGCCACGAGAGGGGGTGGAACAGCAAAAGAAGCAGTAGACCTCAGCAGCCCTTCTTTAAAACTTTGTTCCGAAAAGGCGGTACATCCACAGCGTCTGGCTATTCCACATTGCCAGAGCTCTCTTCCCCTCATTTATCGGGTGCCCCCAAATCATTTACGAGCTCACATTGCCAACAAATGACAATCTTAACTACTAACTGGTTAACTTTTGTTCGGACTTCTGCTCTACTTCTTTCTTTTTCTGTACTCGCACATGGGAGTCGAAAGATGCAGTAGGAGTAGGTTATCCTGGAGCAGGATAGTAAAATTGCAAGACGTTTCGATATGCTTTCAGGTCTTGGTAATGACGGAATAGTCAAAACGTCAGGCATAAAAAATTCCACC